AGAATTGATGCTTTTGAACTCTGGTGTTGGAAAAGACCCTTGAGAGTCCCTTGGACTGCAAGGAGATCCAACCAGTTCATCCTAAAGGAGATCAGTCCTGGGTGTTCATTGGAAGGACTGATGTTGAAGCTGAAACTTCAACACTTTGGCCACCTGATGAGAAGAGGTGACTCATTGGAAAAGACCCTGATGCTGGGAAAGATTGAAGGCGAGAGAAAGGGACAACAGAGGATGAGATGGTTGGATGGCATCACTGACTCAATGGACATGGGTTTGGGTGGACTTCAGGAGTTGGTAGACAGGGAGGCGTGGCGTGCTGCAGTTCATGGGGTCGCAGAGAGTCGGACCTGACTGAGTGAGTGAACTGAACTGAACTGAACTATCCAACCCCACACATCAACCTAACAGTGAACCATTTCTGATCAGGCCCCAAGTAATAATCATTTGATCTCATAAAAAAGAAAATGGGAGGGGGGAAATAATATACCAAAATTATTAATAATGATTACACAAGTGGATGAAATCACAGATTATTTTTACCATCATCTTTATACTTTGAATTTTATAAATTTTTTAAATGAAAATTCATTTAATTTTTATATTGATTAAAAAGCTGTAAAAGATATCTTTCGGGAAAAAAAAGGTTTAGGAATCTATTATGTTTCAGAACTGTGTCCAGAATCTTCTAGAGTTTACTGCTATTAGAAGCATAATTTCTTTTGTGTAGAATTTTTTATTACTACAAAAGCATCCATAAGTAGGCACTTCCAGTTCAAACCTTATACAGGATATGTACATTGCTTTTCTAACAAGCAGACTTCTGTTCTCTTCATTAGGCTTTCCCATTCTTTCTTTTTTTACTTACTGCTATCCCTCCACATCTTTACTGTGTCACAAAATGAATCATCTAATAATCTTCTATGTGTCAGTATTTAGCTACAGATTGGAATTTAATACACTTTCCTCCATATGATATTGCTTCTAGAGGTCTCTTATAGCAAATTCTCTTATTTTCACATTAAAAATTGTTACTGTCAGAGAAACAAGAGCTATTCCCACATGTATGATTAATGAAAGTCAAATATTTGACTAAGAGTAAACAATATTAGAGATATGAAGTTCTAGAATTATACTCCCATCCCCCTAGCCTACCAAATAACTGAGTATTATCAAATAAAGTACCCCAGTACAAATGTAAAAGAAAATGTTTAAGAGACCTACTTTGTGACAAGTGGAAACATTGGGAGTTCAAAAGTAAAAGATATTTTTGCTCAGATGATTTCTTAGGCATCATAAAGCAGAAGGTAAAATACATGTATTTAAATTTTATTTTAGCAAGCTTAACTTCAAAAAATAAACATGTCTTATTCATCTTTGTTTATGCAAATATTTATAGTAAAACATTGATTCACAAAGTATCCATACAAAAGGCTTGCAAAATGCTACACTGGACAGAATTGAAATTCATTTGAAACACACATTGTTTATTATAGATTCTCTCACATGAAATTCTCTCAAAGAGTCTATGAGATAAATAGGTTTGATACCCTTATTTTATTGAAAAGGAAGCTGAGGATAGAGAGCAAGTTACAGACCTAAAGGTACCCAGCTAACCAGTGATGAAAGTTAAACCTCAGGCATCTGAATCCATTGTACATGTTCTTTCAACTACTAGAAGTTATATGTCATGGGCAGATCCTACCTTCTTAAAAACTAATTTAAAAACTAGTATAAACTAGTTTTGCTACCCTTATGCACTACCATTACCACTCTCTCTACTTAAATTAATAAACATTTCCCTTAAAAATACCAGAGGTGTGTTATACTAGGTACCAGGTCCTCTTGACATATTGTGTTGAGGCCACCTTGCCAGCTGCCCTATGACACAGTTAGGTGCATCCAAAGCAGAGCAAGCTTGGCAGTGCAGTGTAGCAGGCAAAGGGAAGCTCTGAAATTTATTTTTTATTGGACCTTTTTCAGTTTGCATGTCATGTGGATTCTCGGAGCCTGTAGACTTGCTTTAGGGCCACTAGGAGCATTGTGACTGGTGAGGTTTCCTTCACAACAGAATTCAGGGACAGATTGCCAAGCATGGTGTTGGAGGGAAGACAGGGCAGGGACTCATGCACACACATGCAATGATAGCTGGGTGATCGCATTTCAGCAAGAGGGAGATGGCCAATGCTCCCAGGGGGTACCGCCTGAGCCCAAAAAACTGACTGCAGGTTCAGAACTGCAGACTGGACATAGAAGGTAGGATCAGCTGCAGACATCAGCCTCAGAGGCTAACATGTCTGAAAACCAGTCTGAGTCCAGGGGGTCTCTTTCCTTCAAGTTAGAAAGACATGTACCTTCCTTTGCACTCACCCAAAATCCATCTTAAGGAGACATGCAGAGAAAGGCAAGAGATGACAGAGCATTTCTCTGCAAGAATGATGAACACAACCTTTTAAAGGGACCATGTAACTCCTAAAATTAGATTAAACTTCTAATCACAGAGGACTAAAAGTCAGGTTTTAGCCTCAATAAACCAGATAAAGGTTGGGATAATGACCAAATTAGTTATGGTCAAAGTTCAGTCCGGTTTAGTTCAGTTGCTCATTCATGTCTGACTCTTTGCAACGCCATGGACCGCAGCACACGAGGTCTTCCTGTCCATCACCAACTCCCAGAGTTTACCCAAATTCATGTTCATTGAGTCAGTGATGCCATCCAACCATCTCATTCTCTGTCATCCCCTCTGTCGCCTTCAATATTTCCCAGCATCAGGGTCTTTTCCAATGAGTCAGCTCTTCACATCAGGTGGCCAAAGCGTTGGAGTTTCAGCTTCAACATATGTCCTTCCAATGAACACTCAGGACTGATCTCCTTTAGGATGAACTGATTGGATCTCCTTGCAGTCAAAGGGACTCTCAAGAGTCTTCTCCAACACCACAGTTCAAAAGCATCCATTCTTTGTGCTCAGCTTTCTTTATAATCCAACTCTCACATCCACACATGACTACTGGTAAAACCATAACCTTGACTAGACGGACATTTGCTGGTAAAGTAATGTCTCTATTTTTAACATGCTGTCTAGGTTGGTCATAACTTTCCTTCCAAGGAGCAAGCATCTTTTAATTTCATGGCTGCAATCACCATCTGCAGTGATTTTGGAGCCCCCCAAAATAAAATCTGTCACTCTTTCCATTGTTTCCTTATCTATTTGCCATGAAGTGACGGGATCAGATGTCATGATCTTAGTTTTCTGAATGTTGAGTTTTAAGCCAACTTTTTCCATTCTCCTCTTTCACTTTCATCAAGAGGCTCTTTAGTTCTTTTTCACTTTCTGTCATAAGGGTGGTGTCATCTTCATATCTGAGGTTATTGATATTTCTCCTGGCAATCTTGATTCCAGCTTGTGCTTCCTCCAGCCCATCATTTCTCATGATGTACTCTGCATATAAGTTAAATAAGCAGGGTGACACTATATANAATATACAGCCTTGACGTACTCCTTTTCCTATTTGGAACCAGTCTGTTGTTCCATGTCCAGTTCTAACTGTTGCTTCCTGACCTGTATACAGATTTCTCAGGAGGCAGGTCAGGTGGTCTGGTACTCCCATCTCTTTCAGAATTTTCCAGTTTGCTGTGATCCACATAGTCAAAGGCTTTGGCATAGTCAATAAAGCAGAAATAGATGTTTCTCTGGAACTCTCTTGCTTTTTTTGATGATCCAGCGGATGTTGGCAATTTGATCTCTGGTTCCTCTGCCTTTTCTAAAACCAGCTTAAACATACAGAAGTTCACTGTTCACATACTGTTGAAGCCTGGCTTGGAGAATTTTGGACATTACTTTGCTAGCATGTGAGATGAGTGCAGTTGTGCAGCAGTTTGAACATTCTTTGGGATTGCCTTTCTTTGGAATTGGAATGAAAACATACTTTTACAGACCTGTGGCCACTGCTGAGTTTTCCAAATTTGCTGGCATATTGAGTGAAGCACTTTCATAGCATCATCTTTTAGAATTCGAAATAGTTCAGATAGAATTCCATCACCTCCACTAGCTTTGTTCATAGTGATGCTTCCTAAGGTCCACTTAACTTCACATTCCAAGATGTCTGGAATTCAAGCCAGAAACTGGCTTGGGTAGCCTTTCCCTTCTCCAGAGGATTTGGATTTCCATCCTATCCAGGGATGGAAACCAGGTCTCCCACATTGCAGGCAGATTCTTTACCAGCTGAGCCACAAGGCAAACCCAAGAATACTGGAGTGGGTAGCCTATCCCTTCTTCAGTGGATCTTCCTGACCCAGAAATCAAACTGGGGTCTCCTGCATTGCAGGCAGATTCTTTACCTACTGAGCTATGAGGGAAGCCCTGTTCAACCACATAAAAGATATGTAAATCAGTGACCACTTTCAGCTTGCTTCTCTAACGTTAATATGGTAACATGGCAAATCAGGATTAAATGAGGCAACATATGTAACACGCTGAACATGGCGCATGCTACATAGCTGGTGCTCAAAACTGACAATTTGTATCTGCCTATCTATTTATCCTACCCTTTTAAAAAAAGTTAATCCTTTTTTTTCCACTTATTTTTATTAGCTGGAGGCTAATTACTTTACAATATTGTAGTGGGTTTTGCCATACATTGACATGAATCAGCCATGGATTTACATGTGTTCCCCATCCCGATCCCCCCTCCCACCTCCCTCTTCATCCTATCCCTCTGGGTCTTCCCAGTGCACCAGCCCTGAGCACTTGTCTCATGCATCCAGCCTGGGCTGGTGATCTGTTTCACCCTTGATAGTATACTTGTTTCAGTGCTAATCCTAATAATATTCAGTTACCTGTAGTTTACTATATAGCTAAACAATCACTTTAATTTCAGATTTTATTTTGTTTTTATATTTAGCAAATGTAAATGTGCACTTGATTTAATACCTGGGGTTATAAAGAGCAACAGAAATAATCTCCTGGTGTATATTGGTCAAGTTTAGAAAATGTATTCACTTACCAGCTCACTGAATTCATTATTGCCTAGATCAAGTCTTTCCAACTGGGCCAGTTTGTGCATTGACCTATAACAGATGGAGAAAAATAATATTGTGAGGCAGTGTATGACACATTGCTCCAAAAGACATTCCAGCCACCTTCTTGTCAGATTTATCTGGGTATATTATGCACAGATATGGGGGTATTTTTCAGGGAGAAGTAAATTTCAAATATATAGAAACATGTTCAAACTGTTGCCTGAAAACCTTTAGTAGCTTACCATGTTTCCAAAAGCCAGTCTGTGGATGGAGTACAGGCCTGACTGCTTAATGAAAGTCTGGGAAGCTTGTTAAATATCTGTACCAATACAAGGTACCAGTTGAGGCTCTAACATCCATATTTTTAATAATCCACACAGGTTTGGGAACCAATGGATAAACTTAGCTCTTGGTGAAGCATTTTAAAATTCCACAGTATGGCCACAATTTCATCATCAATCCTGTTAATTTTTAACTTTCTTAAATGAATTTTTGTTATAGACAAACTTGTTTCTTTTTTAGGGTATGGTCGATTTATAATATCATGTAAGTTTCCGATGGACAAAGTTGTTATTCACAATTTTTAAAGGTTATATTTCATTTATAGTTATTATAAAATATTGGTTATATTCCTTGAGATGTATTATATACCCTGGTAGCTTATTTTATACATAGCAGCTTGTACTAAAATCCCCTACTCCTAATTTTGTACTCATTATCTCCTAAGCACATTGGTTGATGATGTTACAGTTTTGAATAACTGGAAACCTTGGGCAAGAGTTGGTCTCAAAGATTAGAAGTACTCGTGTGCATTACATACATAACCAGTATTTGTCAAGCCATTTTCAAGTATAAGAAACAACATAGGAAAAAGTAATAGCATTCTTCTGATTTTCAAATTTTCTATCTCCCCACTAACCAGAATACTATCTTCAAGTCTTGACTATATACAGAAACTCTGGCGGCATTGTTGACTCAAATCTTAAAAAAATTTAGTTCCTTCATCTTTAAAATTCATGTAGCCATTATCTTATAGGACTTTTATGAGCAGCAAATGAAATACTACTATAATTCAGACTCTTTCAGGCACTCAGAAATGCAAAAAAAAAAAAAAAATCTGTGTACTCTTTCTCTACTCAGAAACTGTTTTTCAAAGATTATTATGTGTTAGAGAGTCTTCTGGGGTCTGGGAAATAGCACTGTATGAAAAGAAAGAAAAATTACTCCTTGAAAGGACTCTACTTCTAGTGCAGATGATAATGACAATAAGTAAAATGATTAAGTAAAATAAAATAATATTCTAGAAGGTTGTAAGTGCTATGAACAACACTTAAGCAGAGGGGGAAGATAAGAATTTTTATAACAGGATTACAGTTTCTAACAGGGTAATCAGGTCTCATGGAGAAGAAATGTGAGTCTAGTGTACTGATTTGACTGTACACCTTTTTCCTTATGATAAACACATGTGGGTCCGGGACCTATTTCCCTGTCTCGCACAGGAATCTAACAGGTGTGAATTCCCCTTACAAACGACTGGCCTAGAAGGCACGATCACAACCATAAGTCAGGCAGAAAACATCAGGACTTGGTTACAGTTTGGGTCACATTCTCCATCAGTTATGCTGACAATTTCATCATCACTTGTCTGAACCAAGCAACCTGCTGATTATTCAGATTCATTTGTAATGTTCACCTAGTTATCTGAAGTTCTAATGAGCAAGTTCTAATGAAAATGGTACTCAATTGTGTTAAATGATGCTTACCAACCTATGTTCATATTATATATGTAAAAGGGGAAGAAATGTGTAAAATATCCATGACTGTTATTTTTGTCATCACTACTTCTGCTGCCTGTAACATTCTACCCACAAATCTTTGCAAAGCTGGCTCCTTTTCAACTCAGCTCATATGTTTTCTCCTCATATCCCCGAATTAAATTTCCCTTCCCATCTTCACTTTGTATATTGCCCTGTTTCATTTTCTTAACACTTACCATTGAAAGTATTTAACATTTTAATTTTAATATTCAATACTGAAAATTAAAATACTTTTTGCTAACTTCCTAATTATTTCCCCCCTGCTAGATTCAAGCTTCATGAGAGCCAGTAAATTGTCAGTCATACAAACAGCTTCTCAGCCAGTGTTTGTTTAGTGAAGATATTCATTTGTGCATGAGTGAATGATTCTTTACCAGGGAGATGTTTGAATTCTAGAAATATTTACAAAGAAAAATCATTCAGTTTTTACCAGGCATCTACAACTAATTAACAGTTGCCAAAGAGATATCCTAATAGGCCTGATTTAATGAATATTGTAATGAATATACATTAGCTTACTTATTAAGAATTATGCATAATGTTAAAGGCAGATAAGGCTGAAGTTTATCTGTCTTAGAATATCTATATCTTGTGTTAAGTTTACTCCTGACATTTCAACTCGTAGGTTTTAAAAATTCCAAATAATAAAAAATGCTAAGTGAAATATTTAGGTGAGTTTTTCTTTTTTTTTTGATATCTCAAATATAGCAACAGCACTTTAAAAGGAAAGCAGTCTAGGACACAGAATCAATTCAGGCAATCTGGGTTTAAATCCCAATTCTACCTCTCACTAGCTGTTTGGCTTTAAACCAACACGAATATATTTGCTTCTCATCTATGATATGGGAATGATAATAAGAATCCTTACATTATAGGGTTATTCTGATGATTAAAATAAGTTAATAAGTTAAAGCACATAAATAATGCCTGACACATGGTAGGTGCTCTTTAAGAGTTAGGTATTGAAAAACTTAGGGAAGAATTTCAGAGTTGGAAATATTTTAAGAAATTATTGAGGTCAGAGTTTCTGAAGTTTTCCTAAGGACTTGTGTGTTGCATGATTTAAAAAAAATTCAGATGGCTAGTACATTTTAGCAAATCTTGCTTAAAAAATGTCAAATAGGTTTCTTAGCAGGATTTCTCATAAAATATACAAATGCATATTATGATTATTTAACAGATTCATTTTGACTATTTCCCATATATATGATCAAAAACATTTCTCTTTTCTACAGGAGATTTCTTAGACTCTGTTCAGTTCAGTTCAGTCGCTCAGTCGTGTCTGACTCTTTGCGTCCCCATGAATCGCAGCACACCAGGCCTCCCTGTCCATCACCAACTCCTGGAGCTTTCTTAGACTAGGAGAACATTTTAAATGATTTTTTTGTAGATGATGAAGTTGTGTTCTTCTCCATCCTAGTCCATGAAATCATAGACATATACTTAGTGCATGAAAATACAAGCCTGTGTGTTTTCCTATCATGAGTACAGGATTTAAATTTGATCAAATCATCCTCATTTGTCTGTTGAAACTGACCAATCATGCTCTGCCTCTCAGCTCCCAATATTCACTTCAGGCTCTCTTTGCATTTATAACTATTTTAGACATGTCCCCCTGGTCTGACTTTCACATCCTTCTTTAAAAGATCATGTTGATGTCTGCCATTTGGTCTTATGCACTGCAACCTCAGGAAAAAGGAATGTTCCTGTCTCCTCTCTAGAGGAGACTTCATGACTTGTTTAAGGTCACATGGAAAGTTAGTGTTAGGGCTGACACAGGACCTCTTTTTCCAGCAGTATCTAGTCATCTAAATCTGGTCTGAATTATTTGGCTTGACCATTGTTTAAATATGAATGTTTTTAAGAAAAATATATGCTCTAAAGCTGACTGTAGTCTATGTCAGAGGTCAACAAACATTTTTCTATTTAAGGCTAGATAAGAAGTGTTTTATGTTCTGTGGGCCATATTGTCTCTGTCTCAATTACTCAATTCTGCCATTGTAGTACAATGCCATATGTGACATGTTAACAAATGGAGATGATTGTTTCTCAATAAAGTTTTATTTATAAAAAGGGGGTCACCAAATTTGAAACATAAGCCATAATTTTCCAACCCCTGGTCTATATCAGTCTAGATAGTTCCATGTGTTTATGACATAAGCCTGGTCCCTAAGAAATATCTAAGTCTTCAAAACTTGATATAACAGATAAATTAAGGACTGGAAATATTTATCATTAGATAATTGCCACTAGATAACTATATTTATATACTATTTGAAATTCTTATTCTTAGGGTACATGTTACTGGAATCTAGGGGCATTTGTTCTTAATAGTGTCATTTGGTTGCACTTATGAAAATTAAATCCTTACTAGAATGCTATTACTTTATAGCATTTATCCAATTGCAAATCTGATAAAAGATTCCAGTTAGAGCAATTACAGGAAATAATGCAATATCTTGGTACATCTGTCACTTTGATAAAATTGTATAATCTGTGATTTGCTTTTTATCAGATTCAGAGGTTTTATCTATTTAAGTGTACAATTACTTCTGAAGCCACATTAACTTGGCAGGATTTTTGTTCCTCCATAAATTCCCAGTGCAGTAACTTGGGTTTGCTGACTCTTGCAAGATTCTGCAAATTTTTGGCATGGGTTTATTCATTCCAGCTTTTAACTTGTCTTTCAAATGTTCTCAGACGCTCTCTGATTAGTGGCTATTCATGTCACAAGGATAGGAAAACTCCCCTCAGTTCCTACTGTCTGATGTTTCTCTCTCATTGGAACTTAGGGAAAGAATATACTATCTTTCCATTTTACCTTATCCATCTCCTATGTTAAACGGACATTTGCATTTTATACTTAGGACATGCCAATTCTACCACACTATTGGGTCCTTCTCTTGTTCACAATTTTTCTTTAAATGAACCTTATATTATACATTTTGAGATAAATCATTTCTTATGACACATGTACTGAGGATAAGAAGGCCCAGGAACTGATATTCTTTAAAACTGCAACACTGGCATATCTCATTTATTTTGAAGAAATGTACACTCACTATCTTTGCACACCAGAAAAAATCTAAAATCTAGTATCCAATAACATAATTTCTATGATAAAATATTTTCTATAAAAATTCTCCCTTAATGGCCTATATAGGAAAAGAATCTTAAAAAGAAGAATGGATATATGCTTATGTATAACTGATTCAGTACGCTGAATACCTG